CCGTCAAGAAGTCATCTTCAGTTGAATCAAGTTTTAGCATTTAATAATAGACTAGTACAACACCCGTGTATTACACGGGTGCTTGTTAAAAAATTATTCTTAAATTTTAAAATTAATGAGAAAACTATATTAAATTTAGTTTATTTTTTTACAAAAAAATATATTACTATATATTTTAGAATGATATGTGTTACTTATGACTTACATGTGTTATATTATATTAGTTTTTATAACATATATCATATAACTACTTGAAATATAAATATATTAGTTGATAAATAATTTTATTTTTCTAATTAATATTAAAAATAATTTTATTATTGTTATAAAGATAAATATAAATTATTTTTATACATACAATAAGAATGTTAAATCGAAACTCATCAAAAGAAGATTAATTTGATATATTACATATGTAAAACTGATAAAAAATACAAAAGTTATTAACTTTTAAATTATATATACAATTCAATAGGTATAATAAAGAATGATATTAAAATGCAATTAATACATGTAACATGACCATAAATAATCAACATATTTATGGTAATACGAATCTAATTATTTTTTGTTTGGAATTAAATTAAATTTGACCAAGCCTAATAACGAAGCATGTAATTTTGCCACATATGATTCCTAAGCACCAGAAGCAGCCATGTAGGCTCAGCGCGGGGGATATAGGGGGATAAGTCATTCGACTCCAAAATTAATATGAGAAAAGTTCAAGATCAAACCCCAAACCAATTTCAATTGTCAAATCCAAGTCCACGAAGAGAAGAATTAGAGGGTTCCATACGGAAATTGTACCTACAACTTCGTTTGATCGAAATAAAATCAAGTCGTACAAAATTTTAATATTTTTTCTTTTTTAAAAGGATCATGCTACATGTACCCCTTGGTGTATCACTTGGTTTACATCCAAGGGGTACATGTACTCATTTACCCTTAATGAATAATTTACTAAATTATTCATTAAGGGTAAATGAGTACATGTACCCCTTGGATGTAAACCAAGTGGTACACCAAGGGGTACAAGTAGCATTATTCTTTTTAAAAATTATTGTCACAAATTTGGCATGCCCAATGAATCTCAAAGTAAAATTTGTTATCACAAATTTAGCCCGTCCGGTGGGCCATAAAGTAAAATCCATTGTTACACACTATCTCATCAAAATAAAATCAAGTTGTATAAAGTGTAATGTTTTTCACAAAATTTGTTGTCACAAATTTGACAAGCCTAATGGAACTCGATCAAAGTAAAATATATTGTCACAAATTTAGCACGCACGGTGAGACATGAAACAAATTCCATTGTTATTCTTACTCTCAACTTAAATTAGTAATCTTGGAATGTTAATTCTTAATCGCAGTTGTAATTACATCAGTAAACATTGTTTTGTTTCAATATCAATCCCAAATCAAGCATCACAACTTACAACATTGAAGATCCTACTACCGGTTGTAAATTTTAACTACTGGTCAAGAATAGCTCGGGTGAGCTATCTCGGAGGTAGCTCTAGTAGCAAGGTTACAACGGCTAGTAACCCAAGCATGATATGTTGATGATCTCTTGGTAGCTCGGACAGAATGATGACCTCTTGGTAACTCATTATATATGGTGATAACCTAAGGACAAGTAGGTCGGTGGACCTACTGATAGTAGATATTTGTAAGGGATCTCTAGGTAGTAGGTTAGTGGACATACTCGTAAATGCATAAGGGACATACTGATAATTTTCTTGCTCCTTAGTTAATTAAACGTCCTCAGTGGCGGAACCACATAGGGGCCCGTAGGGGCACGGGCCCCTATAAAATTTTGTGATCCACCACATAGGGGCCCGTAGGGGCACGGGCCCCTATAAAATTTTGTGATTATATATATATATATATATATATATATATATATGTATAAATGTATTATTATTTTGACATAAAGAAATTTATGTTATTAATTATTATAAAAATTTATATAAAAAATAAAATGTTTAGAATTATTTAACCTTCAATAATATGTTATCTTTTAAGTTGTAGAATTTATGCTTATGTTATACTCAACTTCTTGTTTATTTTTATTCTATCCTAAAATACATAAAGAAACAAATATTATACATAAATATATATACTATATCGAGATTGAATCAAATGTGTCTCCATTATTAAACGAAAATGAGAGACTCAACTAGCTATTAGATAATTAAGAAATAATAAACAAGATGTTTGGTCAAAATTTAACCTCTTTTATTTATTTTTTTTAGTTTGTTAAATATAGATATGACAGTTGACTTCCAGTGTTGACCGTTGACAGTAGTTTGTGCCCCCACTGTCCTTAAGTCTGCGTCCAGCCCTGCACGTCCTCCTTTCAAACTAATCAATAATAAATGCCTAACATATCTAATAATTAACTGTCCGATTAAGGGATAAGAGTTAAAAAAAATAAGTTAACATATAAAATATCGAACCTGAATTTGAAAGTTGAAACACTTCACATGGGAAAAAGTTATGTCCTACACTACGTACATACTTGTGAATTTGGGATAACATGTTTTATATTTATTGATTTCTCTACCACGAGGGTAAAGTTATTTCACTATCAACACCGCTGTAAAAGGGTAAAGTTATTTCACTATCAACACCGCTGTAAAAAAAAA